TCTCCTTTCCTTCCTCTCCTGTCATTCCTCCTCCTCCCCCTCCTCGTCCTCCTCCCTCCTCCCTGCGCTTCACCCGCACAGCACAGCGCTTCGTGGCCCCATAGGGAGCCCCACCGAAGGTCCAAGTGGGACCGCCTGCATGCGTCCCGCACACCCAGTACAGCGTTTCGCGGCCCCCGCTTCCCTCCTCCCTGCGTTTCACCCACCCAGTACAACGCTTCGTGGCCCCATAGGGAGCCCCACCGAAGGTCCTAGTGGGGCCGCCCGCGTGTGTCTCGCACACCCAATACAACGTTTCGTGGCTCCCTCCTCCCTCCTCCTTGCGTTTCATCCACCCAGTGCACCGTTTTCGTGGCCCCATTGGAAACCCCGCCCCCCAGGACCTTCGCAGCTTCCTGTGGGCCCCGTTGCTGAAGCCCCTCAGGATACCCCTGCCTTGGCTGCACAGTGCAGCCAACGGTCTCTTTCAGGTGTTGTGGCACAGCACTGCGACTTCGATCTGCCTCAGCCAACCGAGGTGTGACTTTGATTTCGCTCGCCGCTCGAGTTCGCCCGAACCCTCTCGGTCGGTTGCCTTCGAGAGCCCCCGGACCCTTTGCCTCCGCGTCGCTCGCAGGTGATTGCACAGGTGTCCCTGGGGTGGCCAGCGGCGAGCACCAGCTTGTCACCGCCAACGGGTACCGCATTTGTACCAACTGCCATTGCTATGCTCGCGTGGTCGGTGGCAAGCACAGAGGCCTGTCATCAGCGGAACGCAAGTTCCCCGGCAGCGCTCGGGGCTTGCAGCATCGCCTCGAGAAGGTCCAAAGGATCAGAATCGGGCTGCCGCAGAAGGAGGCACAGCCGAAGGCGCAGGCTCGCCGACTGGGGGTTGGCTGAGTGGCTTTGGTTCGCTCGCTCCTTTGCCGCTCAGCGCCACGTTTTCAGGCTTTCGGGGCCGCTTGAACATGGGCTCGCGCCGCGCGAGCCCGACACACAGCTGAACAAAGATGCCAGTGGGACCGCCCGCATGCGTCCCGCACACCCAGTACAGTTTTTCGTGGCCCCCTCCTCCCTCCTCCATGCGTTTCGCCCACCCAGTACAGCGCTTCGTGGCCCCATAGGGAGCCCCACCGAAGGTCCCAGTGGGACCGCCCGTATGCGCCCCGCACACCCAGTACAGCGTTTCGCGGCCCCCTCTTCTTTCTTTCCCGCGTTTCACCCACCCAGTAAAGCGTTTCGTGGCCCCATTGGGAGCCCCACGGAAGGTCCCAGTGGGGCCGCCCGCATGCGCCCCGCACACCCAGCACAGCGTTTCGTGCCCCCCTCCTCCTTCCTCCTTGCGCTCCACCTACCCAGTACAGCACTTCGTGGCCCCAGAGGGAGCTCCGCCGAAGGCCCCAGTGCCACCGACCGCATGCGTCCTGAAAACCAAACTTGGAATTTTCGCCCACCCAGTACAGCGCTTCGTTGCCCCATAAGGAGCCCCATCGAACCCCCCAGTGGGACTGCCCGTGTGCGTCCCGCACATCCAGGTTGGCACTGTCACCCACCCAGTACAGCGTTTCGTGGCTGCATAAAAAAGTTCCACCGAAGCCCCCAGTGGGACCGCCCGCATGCGTCCCACACACTCAATTTGGCATTGTCACTTACCCAACACAGCGCTTCGTAGCCCCATAGCGAGCTCCACCGAAACCCCCAGTGGGACCGTCCGCGTGCGCCCCAAAAATCGGATTTGGCAATTTCACCCACCCAGCGGGACCGCGGTTATGCATCCCACTCACCGATTTTGGCATGTTTTCCCACCCGGTACAGTGTTTCGTGGCCCCAGAGGAAGCTCCACCGAAGCCCCCAGCGGGACCGTCCGTCCGCATGCGTCCCGAAAATTAATTTTGGTATATTCACCCACCCAGTACAGCGCTGCGTGGCCCCATAGGGATCTCCACCGAACCTCCCCGTGCTACCGCCCACATGCGTCCCCCCACCCACCCAGTGCAGCGCTTCGTGGCCCCGTATGGGGTTTCACCGAATGAGGTATTCACAATTGCGGCGCGCACAACTGCATATGGTTGGGTCCCGCGCCAGGATCATTTGACAGGGATGGTGGGGGGGCGCATCGGGTATGTCGCGCATGCTCCAAATGTGGAGGCAAAGTGAGTGTTGCATCGCTTTTTTGAGAGGGATGGTGTGGGGGGGGGGCCGTCACGGGGTTATGCTGATACCCCCCGTCCCTGTCAACAAACAATACAATGTACTCCCAGGCCTCACGGGCATGACCCCAAGCTTTGCCTCAAGGTGTACTTTGCATTGCTTTTAAACAAAGGGATGGTGGGGCGGGGGGCTGCTCTCATGGGGGGGGTCATCATTGTTCCTGGTTTGGGGGTGCAGACATTGTGTATTGTATGATGGGTAATGGCCTCGGGTGCGCAAATATTGTGTAATTTACGCGGCCTGGGGACGCGAATCTGTTCTAATGTTCGAAAATTCGGGGGCGCGAACATTGAATAATTTACGCGAGTGTATGGTTTCAGGGACGGGAGCGCTGCAATTTGGGAGGGTTTGTGGCCTCGGGGACGGAACTATCGCATAATTTAGTATGGCGTACGGCTTCGGGGACGCGAGTATTTTGTAATTTACAAACGTTTCTGGCCTCGTGGACGCGACTATGGTGTAATCTGCCAGGGACTATGGCCCCCGAGGAGTTCTGATAACTTTCCTTGGGCGTGGTCAAAAAACCAGTGTGGGACTTCCGCCCCTCGCGCGGACAGCAACAATTAACATATTGGAAGCAGCAGGCAAGACTGCAATTGTGAAAAAACTAGAAACCGCAACTGGGACAGGAAGCTGCAATCTTCACCCTCGTAGCCTGGTGGCCCCGCAACGGGGCCAGCTGACTAATCGGGAACAGCAAGAAACCCCTTCCCGAAGGGAAGAAGGGGATTGGAAGAGAAGCCGCCATAGACCACCTACGTCCTAAAGGGCTGGTGGGTTTTGGGGGGGCAAGGCCAGCGAATGGGAGCCGGGACGAGGGGGGCGCCAGAGGTGCGGGCCGAATTTCGTGACGTGTTCGTTGCGTGCTGACGCGCCGCGGAGTTACTGAAGACCAGCTTTTTGTCCCTGAGCCGCGCCGCGGAAATGTTTTCTTGAGACCGGCCTGTTCTCTGGGCACCGCCTCCTGAGTGCGAGGGGAAAAAAAACTACGGGGAAGGGCGTGGAGGGGGGTGCGAGGGGAGAGGGCTGGAAGTGCACTCTGTTGTGTCGGGTCTTGTGTCTTGCCCTCTCGTCTGCTCCGTTCCTCGTCATCCCCCCTCCTGCCCTCCTCCGCGCCCCCTCCCAAGACCTCTGGCGGACCAGCCTCTTCGAGCCCTTGGCCCCGGCCCCTTCCCGGAGCCAGCCTCCCATCCCGGATCGATTCCGACGGCTTTTGGGCCTGAAGCAGCTGTCCCTAAGGGCCAGGACTGCAACAATCGGGAGGCCCCCAAGACTGAAAATGGAATCCGCCTGTCTCCGTCTCCAGAACTCTCTCGGGGTCCCCCGAGGGCTCCGGACGCCTCTTAGAGGCCCCTGAAGGCATCTGAAGGCAACAACAGGAAATGTCCCAGACCATTGCTCCCCGTCCTGTCGGCGGTGAACTCCAAACCGTATACTCGCCGATCAACTGTTCGGACAACTCGATCGGCGGCGGGGGTAGGGTTCGGAACTCGTCGAACACACTGCGAACTCCAAGCCCCGCCCCTGTCTCCCAACGATTCAGGACAATCGATGGCTGGTGGGAGTAGGGTTCAGAATGGATCAAGGGCCTTCCCTTCGACTCGATTTATGAGGTTCCAACATACTTTAGCCCTGATCACCAGACAGAATTTCGAGCACCAGAGAAAAGTGCCGAAACTCTAGGGCTTTCACGTGCCGGGCCCTGGGAGACACTCGCCCGACACCGTTTCGACGCTGTTCCGACACTCTTTGGACACTTTTCCGGGTGCTCGAAATTATTTCTGAGGTGTGGTCCTTCAGTCGAATGGGAACAACCTGCAGTGCCGTTTTTTATACATGCTCCGCGTGCGGACCATGTATTAAAAGTGCAGGGATTTTTTTTGGTTAAAAAAACAGCGATGAGTTCATGCATCAATTCATTCATGAATTAGTCATGCATTAGAGTTTCATATTATTAAACATCCGATGTATTAGAAACTGCCCTGTGAGCCTTCCCTTCGACTCGATGGGTGTTCCCCTCCAGCTTGCGGCCCTGTGGGGCTCTCTGGGGTCGTCCTGGGCGGACGGGGGGGGGGGGCGGCACGACCCCCTGGGCCCACCCCCTACAGGACCGCTCCCCGGACCACCACCCGCTCTCCTCCTCCTCCTCCTCCCCCCCTCCTCCTCCCGTCCTCCTCCTCCTCCTCCCCTCTTCTTCCTCCTCCTCCTCCCCTCCTACTCCTCCTCCTCCTCCTCCTCCTCTCCTCCTCCTCTCCTCCTCCTCCTCCTCCTCCTCCTCCTCCTCCTCCTCCTCCTCCTCCTCCTCCTCCCCCCTGCGACCCCCCCCCCGCGCGGGGAAGGGATTAAAGGGAAGCTCGCGGACCAACTGACCCTGGTCAAGGCGAGCCCGGGTCCGTCGAGCTCTGCAGGATTCTGCAGGTTCTTGCGGGGCCCTGCAAGATCTTTCGCGCTAGCCTGGGGTCAGTGCACCCCTGGCTCTGCAGGATCCTGCAAGATCCGGCGCTCTGGCTGACCCCCGTTTGCATTGTCCCCCGTCCCTAAGGAGAGGCTTCCTTTTAGAGGAGGGCCCAGGGAGAGGGGGAGAGTGGCGATGCCGACGCGAACAGAAAAACATGTCACACACGCCGACAGGTTCGGCGGGTTCCTCGCCAATGGAGGGGGGAAGGGGGTTCCTTCCGTCCATCTTCGGGGGCGACCGTGACGACGACGACGACGACGACGACGACGACGACGACGACGACGACGACGACGAAGACGACGGATGCGAAAACGACGACAACGACGGCGGCGGCGACGACGACGACGAGGGTATGGTTGAGCGGAAATGGGGGCGGCTGCGCGCGGGCCGCGCGCCGCCGCCGCGCCGCCGCCGCAGCCCTGGCGCCGCGGGGCCGCCGAGGGCGCGCGCCGTTTGCGGGCGCCGGCCCGCCCGCGCGGAGGGGCGCTGGGGCACCGCGGGGCTGCTGCTGCTGCCTGCTGCTGCTGCTGCTGCTGCTGCTGCTGCTGCTGCTGCTCGTTGCTGCTGCTGCTTGCTGCTGCTAGCTGCTGCTGCTGCTCTTGCTTGCTGCTGCTGCTGCTGCTACTACTTGTTGCTGCTTGCTACTGCTTGCTGCTGCTGCTGCTTGCTGCTTGCTGCTGCTGCTGCTGCTGCTGCTGCTGCTTGCTGCTGCTGCTTGCTGCTTGCTGCTGCTGCTGCTGCTGCTGCTTGCTGCTGCTTCTGCTGCTGCTGCTGCTGTTTGCCCACTGGTGGGCCACCGTTCTACCACTACCACCGGTAAGACGGGGGAGGTGGGAGGATGGGGAGGTCCTCCTCCTCCGCCTCCTTCTCCTCCTCTCCCTCCGCCTCTTCCTCCACCTCCTTCTCCTCATCCTTCTCCTCCTCATCATCCTCCCTCTCCCACCTATGGTAATGGTGATGGGAAATGGGCCCATCATCCCTGCTTCTCCCGCTCCTCCCTTCCGCCGGTTCCCCCGTCTCTTCCGGGAGAAATGTGTATTTTTCGGAAGCGGTTCAGACTGTTTCCTGAGATGGAAATTGCCTTGACAACGGCGCAAGGTACCATCATAGGCGACGAGACAAAGAACGCGACGAGCTGCCTACCACCTGCAGGTTCTTGCGCGGCGGTCTGTATGTTTAGTCGTAGACGTTAATATCCTCGGCCACTCCACCCCCGCCATAATATTTCAGCCTTGCGTGCCTCCGCTACCGCGGTGGCTCAAGTCCAAGAGGCCCCCGCGCGGCCGGCCTTGGATGGAAGGCGGGCCGCCCTCACTGTGGGCGACGCTCGTGACGACCTGGAGCGCTACTCTGGGAACCTGCTGGTCCTGGGGCTGGGCGCAGACGCCCTCCGTGCCAGTATGGGTGCCGTCCCCGTCGCTGGGTTGCGGCGCTGAGGACGGGTGCCACTGCTCCTGCGACAAGGAACTGCGCCACATCATAGACCTCCAGGCGGAGGTCTGGGCGCTGAGGTGCCTGCTGCTCGCCGGGTTGTTGCTGCTCGGCTGCGCCACCTCGGCCGCAGGCCTGCTGGGTTTCCTGGCGGGACTGTGCCGGCGCTGCGGCTGCGGCGCCCGCGGGCGCGCGCCTGGCGAGAGAGCCGCGGCTGCCGCGCCGGAGCGCGAGGAGAGCCCCCTGGCGGTGGCAGCGGGAGGCGCCGGCCCTTTGACGCCTAGTCGACGACATGGCTGATTTGCTGACGTTCGATGTGGGGGATCCGCAGATCCTGGTGCGGTACGAGAACGATCCGAACGGCTTCTTCCGGCATCACAGATTGCTGCTGTTCAGGGTGAGCGAGGACATATGGATCTGCCTCACCCTAGATCACGACTTGGTCCGAGTCAAGTTGCTGGACACTCGCCACGAGGTGCTCGAGCGCAGAGCCCCTTCCCAGCGCACCTGGCGAACCATGTGTACGCCCACGACCCGATCGGAGGGGCGGCGCTCGCCGCTTTCCGGCGCCGAGCGCGGCTTCAGGGACAGCTGCTCGGCGTCGGCCAGGTCGACGCGATCGAGCGCATGATCTGGGTAGTGGCGGAGCCGCGTTCCCTCCGGTTCGGCGAGATCGTCGACGCGGCGCTGATGGACGACGAGGGCGGGGGACGGACTTCGACCAGAAGGGCGTGGCGGTCCTAGACGGTGAGGAGTTCTTCGTTCAGAAGATTGCGGCCAGCGGCCTGGCTCACTTTAAGAGGGACGCGAAGGCCGACATGTGGGACGCGCGCGCCCTGGGCGACCACCACGACGAGGCGGGTCAGCGGATTCTGCGGCTGTCCGAGGCGGTGGCGCTGATGCTCGACGTCGAGCAGCCGAATTTCCTGCTCGCTGGAGTCAGGGGCGTGAAAGAGTTCCTGGACAGCGTGGCCTCGGGGCCGGGGAATATGACATCGCACCAGGCCGAGTGGGCGAGACTCAGCGGCGTCGGCGAGGGCTTGGCGGTCAACCGCGTGCGCAGGAACCTATGTGAGGTGATCAGGCTGATGCACTCCTGGGGCCAGGTCGACGTATCTATGTTGGCCTCCTCGGAGCTCTTGGTGCGCTGGCTGATCCAGACGGAGATCGCGGTCGACGAGCGCAACCCACGCCACCCCGATTACAGCGGCCTGGACATTGTCATCTCTGCGCCCGTCAACGCCGTCGGTCGGGCCTCCACCTCGAAGTTCAACACCTGGGTCACGGATCGGCTCAAGGAGAGGGCGACGATCTGGAAGCAGGAGCGTCTCTACCGGGAGGAGCAGAAGCAGACCCGCAAGGGCGACGGCGAGGGCAGCAGCAGCCTCGACCCGAGCTCGAAGCGGCACCCCAAGGAGTCAAAGGGAGGAGTGGCCGGCGCTTGTGGCGGCGCCGGTGAGGAGGGATGAGGCCTCTCAGGGCCCTGGGGGGGCCGGCGCTGGCAGCCCGGGCGCCGACAGACCCCCCCCGCGGCCGACGCCCACGTGGGCTCGCCGCCTCCCGTGCTGGGGGCATCAGGTCACGCGATCGCCAGCATGGGGGCCCCTTCCCGCCGCCGTGCGACGCCGCCGGCCTCGGCGATGCATGCAACCATGCGCGGCTTCGGCGAGGTTTTGACTCGGTTCGGGCCCTGAGCCAGCTTGCCGCCGCTAATCTGAATTCACTTCGCGCCCAGCGACACGACCTACCACCTGAGGGTCACCTCCGGCCCGCCGCCGTGCAACGCTGGATGCTCCAGAATGTCGCGCGGCGGGTTGAGGCGTATGGGGATTGCCCGACTGACCTTACAGAGGAATCGCCCCTCGCGGAGAGCTTCGACTCTAGAGACCACTACGGCCTGGAGCCCAAGAACTTGGCCAGCTTCGACTTCGACAAAGTCAAGATCCTGCATCGGAGAGTTCACGTTTGGCCCATTCGACGGGAGCTACCACCTGCAGCCCTTGGCTACCTCAGGCACGCTAGCGACCTGATCGAGAGAGACGAGGCGGAGCTAGGGAAGGGCTGAGCCGAGGGCCAGGGCTTCTCGCCGCATTGGGGGTCCGCTCCTCGGCGCTCGCGAGACCTACGGAAGCGGCTGCATCAGCGTCTGCGTCAGCAGGGCCTTCTGACCTGGCGCCGGCGGCTGAAGGTGCGCGCGGGCATCTTCGCGGTCAAGAAGAAAGATGGACTCCAGAGACTTATTATCGACGCCCGGGCGGCGAATAGGGCATATCGGCTCCCACCTACTACTCGACTGGGCTCGACTCGTTGCATGGCGGACCTTGACCTCTCCGACCCCCGCCTGAAGGCCTCCGGCTTCGGAGGGGTAGGCTCGGGGTCTGTCGCCAGCCCGGCGGGGCTGGAGGGCGACGTCGGGGACTGCTTCTATCTACAACTTCACGATTCCCGAGTTGGCCTCCTGGTTCGGCTTCGAAGACCGCTTCGACACCGTGGAGCTGGGCGACATGGGCCGCCGGCCCGCGACCGCGTGGGACGACGCCGTGGGGGCCGAGTCCGAGGTCGTGGACGGCGAGGCTCTATGCCCTTACATGACGGCCGTGTGCATGGGCTGGTCTTGGGCACTGTGCTTCCCTTGTGAGGCCGTCACCTGCCGAGTGGAGAAGACGCTCGCCGACGGCCCTGGCCAGATCATGGGAGAGATGCAGCCTGCGCCCATCCTGAAGCCCGGCAAGTGCGCGACGGGCGTGTACGTGGACAACGCGCAGGTGATCGGAGGCTGCAAGTCGGACACAGTGAAACAGATGACGGAGATTGATAACAGTTTTGGCAAGGACAGTATTCCGTTCGATATCGAGTCGGGCGGTGAGTTCGAGATGCAGACGCTTGGTTTGGTGTATCACTGGAGGGGGCGGCGACTTCGGCACGTGACACGACGGGTCTGGCGTACTTACTTGGCTGGGCGCGCTCTCCTGCGGCGGCGCATGCTCCATGGGCACGCCCTCCAGTGCTGGCTGGGACACGTCGTGAATCTGAACCAGCTCTGTCCCGAAGCCATGTCCGCTCTGAACGCCTGCTGCCGCTTCATCGACGAGGCCCTGGAGGCACCGAAGCGGACGTGGCCCTCGGTGCAGTCGGAGATCCGCTGCGCGATGAACTTGCTTTTCCTGGTGGAGGCCGACCTCGGCGCCAAGTTTTCCGACCAGGTCTGCTGCGGGGGCTCCGCCACTCGCGGCTACGCTTTGCACGTGGCGGCGGGGGGGGGGCCCGACGAGTTCCGCGAGGCCTGGAAGTGGCGGGGGCGCTGGCGGTACCGGGGCGCCCCGACGGTGGAGGGCCAGGTGCCCGAGGGCCTCGGCAACGTGCAGGGCGGCGCCCCAGGCTCCGCTGCTGGGCCGCTGACCGCCTTCGGCCAGGCCCTTCGCAGCCAGGCGGAGGCGCGCCCGAGGCCACGCGGCCGCTCGGCGGCTGGTAAGGTAGGCCGCGCCAAAATGACCCTGGACTCGGGGATCCCCGCGCTGGCCGACGGCTGGGCCCACCGTCGGCGCTGCCACTTGGTGGCGGCCGACCGCTGGCGCTGGCAGGACGAGCACATCAACCTGAAGGAGGCGAGGGTGGCCCTGATGGGGCCGCGGCGACACTGCCGATCCGTCAGGCTGCTGGGTTCGAAGCTGCTGACGCTGAGCGACAGCCAGGTCACCGTGGGGGCCTTCGAAAAGGGTCGCTCTAGCGCTGGCCTGCAGGCGCTGCGCAGACGGGCGGCAGCATGCCGGCTGGGGGGGCAGATCGCGTGGCGGCTCCGCTACATCGAGACGCGGAACCCGAGCGACTTCGACTCCCGCCAGTGGGGCACCAAGCGCACGACGGGGCAGCCGGCCTTGGCGCGCGAGCGCCGGCCGAGGCCAGAGGCGCCGCCAGGCCAGG